ACCAATTCAGCAATACAGACCTAACATGCCTCAGCCTGGGGGCATGCAAGCTCAAGGCCAAATGGTGCCATACCACCAGAGACAACAGGGCTACCCACAGCAGAACCAGCAACAGTTGACATATCAGCCACCTCCTTAGCAGCAAGATAACAACATGGTAGAGATCAGGGGGATGCTCCAGCAACTCATTGGGACAAATGGTAAGATGCAAGAAAAGTTGGCAATACATGATTCAGCTATAAAGAACATTGAAACTCAGTTGGGGCAGTTGTCTATGGCTTTAAACAACCGCTCCCAGGGAACATTGCCAGCAGATACAAATATTAACCCCAAGGAGCAAAACCCGAATCAGCTGATGGCAGTAAGTCTCCGGAATGGGAGAGATTTAGACAAAGAGCAGGAGGTTGCACTAGCCAGTAAAGAGAATACGCCAGCCATTCCAACTCCACTAGAGGTATATGAACCAACAAATCTGTCTGAAGTGGTGGTTGAACAGGGTCAAGATGAAAAGGGTAAGACTAAGATAAATGAACAAGCTGCAGAACAAGACAAGTGGTGCCTCTTGTACCACAGAACCCCAACAGAAAGAAGCCAGCAAGCAATGCACAAAGGGTAATACCTGCACCATTCCCTTAGAGACTGGTAAAACAAAAGAAGGAAGATTAATCCAAGAAATTCATGGAGATGTTGCGTCAAATTCAGTTGAATATTCCTTTGATTGATGCCTTAAGGGAGATGTCAGGTTATGCGAAGATGATGAAAGACCTAATGTCACAGAAGTTTGATTTTCAGGACCTATCCATAATGACTCTAACGCAGATCTGCAGCGTAGTAGTGACCAAACCGATGGCTCAAAAGATGTCCGACCCAGGTAGCTTCATTATTCCATGCAAGATTGGGAGTTATGCCTTTGCAAAGGCATTATGTGATTTGGGAGCCAACATAAATTTGATGTCTCTGGATGTATACACCAAACTGGGCATTGGTAGAGCTAGATCGACTTCGATGCTGCTGCAGCTGGCTGACCGCACGGTAAAAAGGCCTACTAGGATTCTTGATGATGTGTTGGTGCAAGTGGGGAAGTTCGTGTTCCCTTCAAACATTGTTATTCTTCACTGTCAGGTAGATGAGGAGATACCTATCATTTTAGGTAGGCCATTTTTGGCCACTGGGAGAGCACTAATCGATTGTGAGACTGGGGAATTAAAAATGAGACTGAACGATGATGAAGTCATATTCAATGTTTAGCAATCTATGAAGAGACCTAGTGAATATGCTAATTGCTCTCTAGTGGAGGCAGTGGATGTGATCTTGCAAGAAGATGATGTCACCCTGACTGCTAAAGATCCATTGGAGGTATGTCTAACAAATTTAGAAGAGATGGATTGTGAAGGGTTAGCTGAGTGGGTCATGGCACTTGAAGGCCAAGGATTCTGGAAAAGGGAACCTCAGTTCGAGTCCCTTGAGTTAGAAAAAAGGGCTACACCTCCAGCAAAGCCATCAGTAGACGAACCACCGAAGCTGGAGCTGAAGCCGCTCCCAGCTCACCCAGGTATGTTTTCTTAGGCCCCGATTCTACTTTGCCTATTATTATATCATCCGATTTGCTAGATGTGCAGGTAGAACAGCTCTTACAGGTACTGCAGGAAAGTAAGACTGCCATTGGCTGGACCATGGCAGACATAAAGGGTATCAGCCCAGCCTTCTGTATGCACAAGATTCTCTTGGAAGAAGGGCACAAACCTTCCAAAGAACATCAACGAAGGCTGAACCCGAACATGAAAGAGGTAGTAAAGAAGGAAGTGATCAAATGGTTAAATACGGGAATCATCTTCCCCATCTCTAATAGCAATTGGGTCAGCCCTGTACACTGTGTGCCGAAAAGGGGGGGAATGACTGTTGTGCAAAATGAGAACAATGAGTTGATCTCAACTCTTACAGTCACGGGATGGTGGATTTGCATGGATTACCGAAAATTAAACACAGCCACCCGGAAGGACCACTTCCCCTGCCTTTCATTGACCAAATGTTGGACAGGCTGGCCGGGCGATCGCACTTTTGTTTCTTGGATGGATATTCGGGGTACAATCAGATATCAATAGCCCCCGAAGATAGAGAGAAAACATCCTTCACTTGTCCGTATGGCATCTTCGTCTTTCGGAGAATGCCTTTTGGGCTTTGCAATGCACCGACGACATTTCAACTGTGCATGTTAGCCATTTTCACAGACATGGTGGAGGATACTATGGAGGTATTTTTGGATGGTTTCTCCGTGGTGGGAGATTCATTCGAGGACTGTCTTCACAACTTAAGAAGAGTGCTCAAAAGATGTGTGGAGACAAATTTAGTGTTGAACTGGGAAAAGTGCCATTTTATGGTACAGGAAGGGATAGTCCTGGGGCATCGAGTGTCCAGTAAAGGAATTGAGGTCGACCATGCTAAGGTTGACGTGACTGAAAAACTACCACCGCCCACTTCAGTCAAGGCGGTGAGAAGTTTCTTTGGGCATGCCGGGTTCTACAGGCGATTCATAAAAGATTTCTCCAATATTACTAACCCATTATGCAAACTCCTTGAAAAGGATCACCCCTTTGTGTTTTCTAATGATTGCAGGTTGGCATTTGAGGAGCTGAAGAAGTGATTGGTGACTGCACCCATCATTGTCACACCCAACTAGAAGCAACCATTTGAGCTCATGTGCGATGCAAGTGACTATGCCATAGGAGCAGTCTTGGGGCAGCGAAAGGATAAACTGATGCACCCGATTTATTATGCAAGCAGAACGCTAAGCGGTGCACAACTCAATTACACTGTGACGGAAAAGGAGATGTTGGCTGTTGTTTTTGCATTCGACAAATTCAGGTCATACTTGATTGGCTCGAAAGTTATTGTTTACACTGACCATGCAGCAATTAGGTACCTGATAGAAAAAAAGGAGTCAAAGCCACGCTTGAGTCGATGGGTTCTTCTGTTACAAGAATTCGATCTGGAAATACGTGACCGAAAAGGGATAGAAAACCAAGTAGCTGACCACCTCTCAAAGTTGGAAGGAGCTAAAAAGAAGGTAGAGGTTGAGGATATAACAGAGACATTCCCGGATGAACAGTTACTAGCAATGACAATGGAGGAGGCACCTTGGTATGCTGATATTGCTAATTATTTAGCAAGTGGTATTGTACCTTATGAACTCTCCTCAATTCAAAAGAAAAAGTTCTTTCGTGATTGTCGGTATTATTATTGGTATGAACCTCTATTGTTTAAAATATATGTAGATAACATGATCCGGTGGTGTATCCCCGAGAAAGATCATCATTCTGTTTTGTAGGCTTGCCATGCTTCACTGATGATAGGCTATAATTGTGTATTTTAGTCGCTTATTACACTCTAATTTATTGCACTTTAATTGATTTTGAGCTTTAATCGCTAGTGTTTTACACTAAATATGAGTTTTATGCCTTTTAGGAGTGATTCCGATCTATGTAGGCGTTATGGAATGAATTCAAATGATTTGGAGCTTTGAAGTCTGAGTAAAATCCCAAGACATTAAGTCGGGATCGTGTTCGGAGGGCATGTACCAAGTCCGGATGTTAAAAGAGGACGAAATAAGTTCACTCTGAGAAAATTACATTGCCGCGCCGCGCCTGTGTAAAATGCTGCCTGATGCAAAAAGTTGAGGCTGCTGATAAACTCCATTAGCACGCCGCATGGCGCGGCACAGGGTGCGGCGCGGCTGTATAAAATTTACAGAGCCAGAGTCCTATTTCGCGCGGGAGAATGTGTTTTCGTCTGCGCCCAACCCAACTTGGTATAAATACATATAAAAACGTTATTTTTGAGGACTTTGGACGGAGCTTAGCATGGGGAGACGCACTTTGGAGCAAAAATACACACAAGAACATCTCAGATTTTTTCATCTTTTCTAGTAATTTTAATTATTCAAAATTTATGAAATTGTTTGATTACATCATGAGGCTAAACACCCATTGTTCTGGGGTTGTGATTTAGCCAAGAATATTGTTGTTTGATATTAGCTTGACCTTGATTATAATTCACCAATATATGGTTGTTTCTTCAATTCTGTGTTTAATTGCTTAATTGTCTGGCCAGCAGTTAGGTTCTATTTACTATCTATGTTATGCTTGGGAAAGCCGTGTTTAGATTAGAGAAGAATTGAAGAGAGCATGATCTTAACCCTTAGGGGGAGCGAATTTGTGGTTAGGATAGGAATATACCTAGTCATCGTGCTTAATTAAATATTGTGATCTTAATGCGTTCTTAATAGATTAATTTCATAGGAATATAGGCGTTAATCTATTGAGAATAGGTGAGTAGTACTTCGGGAGAAGGCTATGAGAGCATTTATCGATTAATTAGCAACCATGAGTGAATTATATGAAAGGGAGAGTTAATTAGAACACAATAGGATTGGTGAATCGATCACAACCCTGGAATAGTTGTCTCTATTGAATACATAACAATCATTCTACTGCTTGATAATTTAGTTATTACTTAGAATTGTAGTTAGCATAATTAAACTCTTGAACTCGAACTTAGCTTGACGGAATAACAATATTGTTGTGTTAGTGAGTAGTTGATATAAGTCCCTGTGGGTTCGACGCTGACTTATCATTTTATTACTTGTACGACCACGTATACTTGTGTGTGCGTTTGGGAGCAACAAGTTTTTGGCGTCGTTGTCGGGGACTTGAATATTAGCTACTTGCTAGTTTTTGCTTTAATTGTTTATTTCATCGAGTCTAACGTTACTTGATTGTTGCTCAGATCTCAGGAACTTTGATTGAATGCGTAGGTTCAGAAGCCAAGACCGACTTCAAGGCTTTGATCCTGAACCTGAGAGAACATTTCACAGGAGGTTGAGGGAAGCAAGGGACACGAATAATATTCAGCCACTTGTTCAATTTCTTGTGGACATGGCAGAGGAGCAATCCATGGCTGTTCAGGAGGTGGCGATGCCCAGCATTGCTAATGTCACCTCCAGTATAGTGAAGCCCAGGATCGCTGGGCACTTTGAGCTGAAACAGAGTATGATCCAGCTACTTCATGCAAATGGGAAATTTATGGGTCTTCCACACGAGGATCCACAACAGCATATTCTGAACTTCTTGGAGATTAGTGATACTTATATCACTACTAACGGGGTCACTCCAGATTATGTGAGGCTCACACTTTTTACATTCTCACTGTTGGGCGAGGCTAAGCGATGGCTAAAGGCAGAACCAGCTAATTCCATTACAACATGGAATGATTTGGCGAGAAAATTTCTGGCAAGGTTCTTTCCTTCAGGCAAAACTGCAAAGATCAGAAGTGAGATAGTTGCCTTCAAACAAAAAATAAGGGAATCTTTATACTCAGCTTGGGAAAGGTTCAAGGGGATACTCAGAGACTATCCTCATCACAATCAGACGAATGAAGTGTTAGCTCACACTTTCATAGAAGGGCTCCATTCCCAAACAAAAATTGTAGTCGATGCGGCAGCTGAAGGTCAAGTATTGGAGAAAAGCTTCGATGAAATTTATGCATTATTGAACAAATTCTCCAAAAGCAATTCGGATTAGCAAGGAGAGATGGGTAGGAACATGGTACAAAAATCACCGGGGGTTCTTGAATTAGATGTTGTCTCAGCAATGTCAGCACAAGTCTCTACGCTGACCAACCAAGTCAATCAGATGACCATGATCATTAACAAGCAACAAGCCCAGCCAGTGCAACAAGTTCAAATATTTTGTGAAGTATGTGGAGAGGGTCACATGAGCAATTTATGCCCAGCAAATCCAGAATCTGTATATTTTGTGGGTAATGCAAATCGAGGCCAAACAAATCAGTATGGGGACACCTACAATCCCAACTAGAGGAATCACCCAAAATTCTCTTGGGGTAGAAATCAAGGCAATCAGAATCAATATCGGCCTCAAGCACCTCAACAACAATCCAGTCCACCTCAGGCTAAACAACAAGCTAGCCTTGAGGAGATGAAGAAGAAATTGATGACCGACCAGCAAGCCCTCAATCAGAAATTAATAGCAGATCAACAAACTTTCAATCAGAAATTAATAGCAGATCAACAAACTTTCAATCAAAAAATAATGGCTGATCAACAGGCTCAAGCCGCAACACTGAGAAATTTGGAGCACCACGTGGGCCAACTTGCCAGAGCCCAAAATACCAGACCAATAGGGGCTCTTCCTAGTGATACGGATCTCAATCCTAAAGCTCAAGTCAATGCAGTT